CTGGGTGTTGAGCTGGGGATTGTGTTAGGGGTCTGGACGATCTCTGGGGGGGTTGGGTCGCTGGCCCGGGTTCTGGTCGGTGCACAACTGAAATGTTATTAAAAACGTACCATTTAAGATGCAAGTGCCGACTTTTAGTACAGCCAAATGCACATCACTTTACATAAAACCACATTTGTCAAGGTGGCCCAGTGGTCTAAGGGGCTTCTTTAAGGTAGCAGTCTCCCCTGGAAACATGTCTTCAAATCCCACTTCTGACATGCTTTTTTGATTACTTCTACAAAAAGTGCCCAGGTAATTCACTCGCCTATGTCGAGTTCTGTTATCAAACAGGCCTTCTACAAAGCATACCCATTTGCTTGTTGTAATTATTTGGTTTAAGCATGAGTGAAAAAGACTTAAACTGGGTTCCAGCTACATCTTACAGGTGCACAACTGAAATGTCATTAAAAATTTGTTTAATTTGTAAGTGCCAACTTTTAGTACAGCCAAATGCACATCACATCCATCTTGCTCCACAGTGGGATCTAACGCTGGTCCTGCAGGCCCTGATCATAGCTCCGTTTGAGCCACTGAATCAGGTTCCAATTAAATTATTGTCTCTTAAAACAGCCCTGCTGCTGGCTTTAACATCTGCCAAGAGGGTGAGTGATTTATCTGCCCTCTCTGTCGCTCCGTCATGTCTTAGAATTCAGGCTGACGGCAGCTCAGCTGATCTAAGACCAAATCCAGCTTTTACGCCTAAAACATCACAAGCTCTTTTAAATCAAGAGCGATATCGTTGGAGTTTTTTTTCCCTCCCCCCAACAAATCAAAAGAAGAAACATCTGTCCATCTGCTCTGTCCTGTGCGGGCGTTGACGTGTTCTATAGCGCGCACAGCCGCAATGCGTCAAACTCAACATTTGTTTGTGCATTATAGAGATGCATCTGCAGGTCGCCCGTTATCCACCCAGCGCCTGTCACACTGGCTGTGTGAGGCCATTTCTGAAGCCTACAGAGCATCAGATTAAGAGCCTCCTGATAACCTCAGGGCACACTCGACCAGAGGTATTGCATCTTCGACTGCTTTGCATAATGGTATGACAATGCAGGATATTTGCACTGCGGCCACATGGTCAACACCCTGGTCATTTATTTGCTTCTATCTACGTGATGTGACGGCTCGTTCCATGACACATTCTATCCTTAGTGTTTTAACAGATTGAATATTGTTGTTGCATACAATACAGTGTGAGATGTTATCAGCCACAAGTTGTGACTGTTATTTTGGTTCTATTGTCATTAATCCCTTCATGACTATTGTTACCAATCAGTTCATTTGATTAATAATCAGTTCACTTGTTATTATTAATCTGTTCATATTGTTCAGCCTTGAATCTGTTGGTTCATGGCCCTTTTTCAGCATCTTCTTTTCCCTGTTGAAAGTTTCCGGGGCGTTCATGCACGCAGAACGCATAACTACACAGCACGCATCTGTGCATGGTACGCATAATTACACAACACGTAATTACGTACATGGAGAGCTGAGTGACAAGACATTTTTTGGGCAAGCTGCCGCTTCGTATGGTGTTCGAATGGACCCAGTGAGGCGAGGACATCATCTACTTCGCCCATAACCCACCAGCGACAGCCCTAAAGGGCGAAGCCTAGACGAAATAGAACGTTGGTTACGTACTGTAAACCCAGATTCTATGAGTATAGGTGTAGCCCTTTAAGTGTCGGGCCTCACTGGCTCCTAAATGGCTGAAGAAAAAGCTATTTGGGAGCCGATTACCCGCTCTTAATGTAATTTATACGGACCGGGTGGGGCCCACACAGCAGGTGGGCATGGACTAAATTTTTCAGTGCGATGCTTTGCATGTTGGGATAAACCCACTAAGCCACAGCTCTTAAAGGGCTACACCTATACTCATAGAATCTGGGGTTACAGTACGTAACCAACGTTTCACGTGGACTCCAGTAGCAGCTTCAGCCTGGCTAGCTTTCTGTGAGAGGTCGAGCTGCTGTTTCTGAGCTCTCTAAAAGCAGACTCCCTCTTAGCTGGTGCGGTGAAATTATTCCAGGTGAAGAGAGAAGGAACAACTCAACTTTTAAAGCAGCTGGTGGTGGATCCGCAGACAAAATCCTCCTGAGTGAAACGCCGGCTACATACAATGCTCCCTGGCTTTATACAGAAGTCGGGACCATCATCTCCTGATCACTTGGATCCACTGCCTCTTTTGGTCTGGGTACGTTGTGAAAAATATGGTAGGACAGATATGGTTGTTTTCTTGCCCCACAAGAACAACCAGGAACTGAACAAAAGAAACCACGCCGAGACTGAGCCATTTTCCTCACTGTCTAATGCTAACGTTATAAACACCGGAAGTTGTTTAACACCACATCCGGTTTAAAACGCGGAAGCTTGAAAAAGGTCTATTATTCCTCATGCCTTTCACCTGCTCACAGCTCTATTTAAGCCACAGCTCTTCAGTCAGCCAGTGCCAGATTAGCTTCGTGTGAGAAATGTCCAGCATTCATGTTCAAGCCTTGCCTGTCTCTCAAGTCTTAATCCCACGCCTGTCTTCCGGATCCTTCGCCTTGCCTGGCCCTTGCCTGTTTTGGACTTTGAAATCAGACCACGGTACTGACCCAGTTTGATTGTTTGACTACACCTCCTAGATCTTCCTCTGGTTTGGGATTCTGATCTCTGACCCATGGTTCTCGACCCAAGCCTGTCCCACAGAACTCTCTCCGGATTGTCCTCAAAGCTGCACTCAGTGTGCTCACTCTCTGCTGCTGCCAACTCGCGGCCCCTGACGGCATCCTTCTAAACCAACATAAGGAGTACACCTTGCTCTTGACTGTGAAGGTTAGATACTCTGCTTATTATGGTAAATGGTAAATGGACTGCACTTATATTTTCAATTCAATTCAACCTTTATTTAGACAGATAAATCCCATTGAGCCTCGAGGACTCATTTAAAAGAGAGATCTGATTTCAACAAAGAATGATGACAACAATGGACAACAGTGACAACAATAAACAGTTATAAAAAGTCATTCTCCAGTTTTTTTTTTTTTAAACAAATAGGATGGCTAAAAAAAGGTCACAAAAAACAGCTAGATTCTAAGGCGAATGTAGAAAACTAAAAACGGGAACATGTCTGTATTGGTCCCTGCCAGGAATCCAACAGATTCTTAAAGCCACTTAGAGAGGTCAAGGTGGAGAACTTCAAATGTTTTTGTAAGGTATTCCAGGAAACAGGAGCAGAGTAGGAGAAGGCCCTCTTGCCTAGTTTAGTCCTCAATGAGGGAACACTGCAGGTAATAATGTCCTGAGAGCGCACGCCGTAGCTGCACTCACGCAGATACAAGTAGAAGGAGATGTATGAAGCCAGCAGACCAAGAAGTGATTTAAAGATGAATGTAGCGCCTTTCTATCTTATTTCAAGATACTCAAAGTGCTTTACACTACAATCTGTGTCCTCATTTACCCATTCATACTGAACTCTACTAGATCTCTACAAAGCTAATTGAACAAATCATTCTAATGAGACTAATCAGAGCTTTATCACATTCATACACTGATGGGACACACATCAGAGGCAACGAGGGGTTCAATGTCTTGCCCAGGAACACTTCGACATGTGACTGCTGGTGGATTTGAACCCCCAACTCTCTCATTGGAGGACGACTGCTCTAACCACTCAGCCACAACCGCCTCCTACTATTACTTTTACTATTACTACTATTATTATCACTATTACCTGAACCTTCACAGTCTAGCCAAAGTCACTAACCCACATATCTTTACAGACTGGACCTGGGCCCAGAACCAGACATCCAGCAGCGATTTATTAATAAATCATTTTAACCATTACTGTCTTGATGGTTTTTTTTTTTTCTTCTTTCGACTGCTCCCTATTTTTTAGGGGTCGCCACAGCGAACTAAGTCACAAGAAGATTTGGCCGTTATTTTTTATGCCGGATGCCCTTCCTGACACAACCACAGACCACCGAGCTACCACAGCCCTCTGTGTGGAGCAGATAGCTTCTGTCTAGGACACCCGGAGGAGCAGACGGTGGGAGCTAAGGGCCTTGCTCAAGGGCCCAGAGTGGGACGAATGAGGGTGGGGGCAGGTGTGGGTGCTTCACCTACCCCACCCGCATTATTGATGTTGTCGGTATACCGGGGCTTGAAACGACGAACTTCCGATCACAGGCCCACCTTCTCTAACCTCTGCGCCACCACGCCCATATCCCTATTAATAAATCATTTTAACCTTTCCTGTCTTGGTGTGTCGTGCACAAATCCAAAACCCCAATCTTGTCAAGGTGTGCTACAGTTATCTACACATTTGATGGACTGTACCTGTTTGATATTTATTAAAATGTATTACTGTTATTTACAGTCTTGGGTAAAGTTTTGATTTTTGAAATGTGTAACTTTTGTACGTTTGAATGTCTCAAAGGTTTAAGACAAACGTATGCCATGTTAAGGGCTGTTGTCAGGGCTGTACGTGTTTTGTCAAGCGGGTACTCTCTGTCCTGAGCTGCTGCACTTCCCTTTGCAGGTTCTCCTTCCTCTTTGTGAAAGAGAGGAGCGATGGGCTCTGCATTTGATGAGGAAAACATGATGTAGGAGCCACTTATATTTTTCTGTGTTTATCTCCACTAGGTGTATTTCATTTTATGTACTGAGTATGTCAGAAGAGGAAGGTGGTTTCTTAAGGGCAGGTGTGATTCTGTTCAGGTGTTGCTAATGAGAAGGGGCAAACAGTTTTCTACTGTGCTTAGTTCAGGGTCAAGGCAGATTTATTTGTTTTCTAAATAGAAATGTAAATGGATATTGTGAGGGAAATAAATTACTTTGATTTATAAGTCAAAATGAAGATCTGCATAGTGAATTTTGATTCAGCGCACGTAAAACTAAAGCGTACTAGGAACAACGGCAACCAGTAGCCTAAAATATAGGATTTTAGCTGCTACACATGAAAAATCATGAGAAGGAAAATCATGAAGCTCGAAACAACTACTGTCTGCAAATCAGTTCTTCAGGACCAAATCAAGACTTTGGACTTTTTTATTGTTTATAAGGTGTTCCAGGTGAGGAAGGTCCAAGGAGCCCAAGCAGGAAAAATATTTGCTATGAAGGTTCTGAAAAAGGTACTGACTGGCTGCACTCCATCCTGTCCTCCTTCCACTTGTTTACTTTCCTCCCCCATCTTTGTTTCTCCCTCTTTAAACACCCGACCTGCTGCCGTATTTGTCTCTTACAGGCTAAAATCGTGTGTAACGCTAAAGACACGGCGCACACCCGAGCAGAGCGGGAGATCCTGGAGAAAGTGAGACACCCATTCATCGTGGACCTGCTGTACGCCTTCCAGACCGGAGGAAAGCTCTACCTCATCCTGGAGTGTCTGAGCGGTGAGACGGGAACGATGGACGACATGAACTGGCTCAGGGAGACGGGGTTTTGTTAGGAAGAGAGAACAAAAAATAGAAAAAGTTCATTTACTTTGATGGAAAAAATTAAAAGTGAATTGGATAAAAGTAGGAGTTTTAATTTCAGGTGAAATATTTTAATCAAAATGAGCAGAAAGACGGACAAAAAAACCAGAAGGAAAAATTATAAAGAAACAAAACACAAATTGACCAAAAACAAGCACAAGGAGATAAAAATAACAGAAACAGACAAAATGGTTACACAAAAAGACAAAAAAGATGCACACGGAAAAAAAGGATGCAGAAAAAGACAAAAAGGACACACAAAATGACCACCAGGAAACACAAAATGACCACCAGGAAACACAAAATGACCACCAGGACACACAAAATGACCACCAGGAAACACAAAATGACCACCAGGAAACACAAAATGACCAACAGGACACGCAAAATGACCACCAGGACACACAAAATGACAAACAGGACACACAAAATGACCACCAGGACACACAAAATGACCACCAGGACACACAAAATGACCACCAGGACACGCAAAATGACCAACAGGACACGCA